GGCTAAGTTCGCCTCCAGAGAGGTGCTCCCCTCTAGTGCAGGGCCTTCATCCAGCTGTGTCGTGAGCAAGACGTTGCAGGGCTGCATCATCACCGTACCCTTTCATTACGATTCACAGCTGTGGCAACACAGCAACGTGACACACATCAGCAGTGCAGCAACTTGCTCGCACACAGTGAGCTACTTGACACGCCGATGGACACGGCACTTTGTCAGGGGGCAGAAATTAGTTCTGCCTCGAAACCAATTTATTTCACCATCTTGCACAGATATGGACATGTGGAGGTTAAAATAAAAGCAAACATCAATCCATTGTTTAAATTGTCTGGATTCGTTTAGATTTTAGGTGTAAAAGGATCGATATCGCTTGAGTACAGATAGTGACTTTCGCGAGCGTGAAATGACTCATAATGAGCTCTTTGTACACCTGTATGTGTGTCCCTTGTTCCAGCTGGAATTGCTCTCATAGCCAAAACTGCACACTGCCAGTGTTCTTCATTGTTTACTTGCGAACTTGTGCCGCAGTGTTAAATGTCACGTGTTAAATTCAGGACATTTTATTATTATTTAAATCAATGACGAATCAGTGTAAGACTACTGCACGCACACACACAAGTAAGCTGCATTATTGTTTTAATGTCCACGCATCATCAGGCAAATACAACCAGAATCGTCATCAGGCAAATGCCTGATGATGATGATGCTGTTTGTAGATATGATTCGGAAAAAAAATGGTTCCACTGGGTAGCACGTACTCTTTGGTTATTTCTGTAAAGTCACGTAGATATAAAATTAATAGATCACGACGTTTCGATCACAACACCAGCAATCGTCGCTGAGGCCTCAGCAGTTCTCCTGCTGTCTTTGTCTCACCTGATGACGATTGCTTGTGTTGCGATCGAAACGTCGTGATCTATTAATTTTCTATCTACGTGACTTTACCGAAAGAACCAAAGAGTGTGGATTCCTGCAGTCACGCAAGCTTCAATTCAAGATTGGGTAGCACGTGTGCAGCATTGCGGAGGGATGACTGCCAAGATTGGCGTCAGAGTGTTCTCAACGAGTCTGGCGACCAAGGGGAAGACCTACGAGGGGATGGTAGTGGGAGGCTGTAGGGCAGATCTTGGTGGTCAAGTGTCTAACGTGCAGCAACAGCAGCAGCTGCAGGCACTGGCGGAGGGGAGAAATCATTGACGAATCGCGTTGGCATGATCAGCTTTGGTTGTGATGACATATTGGTCTTGTATTTGCTGTTCAGTTCGCTCGTGGTCCATTAGAAAAATATCAGTAAAGTACAACGTGTTTACTTGCTGAACAAAAGTTTTGTAGGGGTACAACTGGAAAACGTAATATGTACATTGAGTGCAGACTGGAGTGAAAATTAGAACATGAAGAGGCCAGCTGGAGCAGGTTGGAGTGCTTCTGGAAAATATAATTTCATAATGTGAAACAACATACCAATGTGCCGAAAAATTTACGTTTTTAATTGGTGGATATTGCTTGCGATAACATACGATTCGGGAACATGGACCCTGATAAATTAAGTGGAAGAGCAGGTGAAGAACGCAGAAAGAATCATGTAGAGATACATGCCGTGAAACATCGTGTCACTGCACAGCATATTGTGGGTATGGTGCAAAATGGATAGCTTTGGTGATGAATCTGGTTTACTTACATTACCCTGGCAGCAATTTTCCAATTCAAGTCCTGCTTTAAAGATGCTTACCTAACAATTGATTAGATCAGCTGGCAGCAATAACCACATGCAACTATTTAAAATGTAGGCCACACCTGTGTGTATTCACCATACGTAAAGGATGAAGCACTCGTGAAAGTCGCTATATACATCTATATAAGATACGATAAGGTTTACTTCAGTCGTATCTAACGCCAATAAATAAAACAGCGGCATCCTCGATTACTAATGCCACCAGCGTCACGCCCAGAATGAATTTGATGCATTCCATTTAAAAAAGAAGTACGCAGTGTTGTGTTTTTCACATTATGCGTGTGAAATTTCCATTTAAGGGGTCAGTTCACTTATTGATAATTCCTGCCTCTTAAGTGACCGAAGTCTAACGGCAGAATCGCCCTACATGCTCCCGATGTCATCGCATGGCAGAGGCTTTAGGAGGGCTGAGCCTGGTTTGTGACTTCGGTGGGTGAGCGAGCACGAGGGCTGGCCAGGTGTTGTAGGCATGCAGTTGTAAGGTTGCCAGAAGATGGCAGCGTGTAGTGTTAATCACTACCCCCACGTATGTTTTCTCCGGATACTACAATTTCCTTCCACATTTATTCCCAAAATACTCATTGGTGGTATTTGCCAAACAATCCCTATGTAGGACCCAAGTGAAAATGTCTTGAGACTCATTGAGTAAAATAATTAGCTGAAATTGATATTGCAGTATTATGTTAGCATATAACCATAAATCACTGGAACAGCATGTGCACGCATTAATGCATGGAACATATTTGGAAGCCTCTCATTCCTGTTATGGATGTAATGAGGTAATGCCTTTGTTTATGCGGTAAATCGCGTGCTATTATTTACTTCTGTGCCCCACCCACGAAACAAGATAGCATAACAATGAGACTGATCTAAATGGTAAACGTGTGAGATTTGTGAACTTCCCACCAACAGCCAAAACATTTTCGAACATGACTTGTAAGTAAAAGAAGGAAAAGGTTGACGCAGAACACTGTAAGGGATATTGCTATTGAAATGGTAATTCGAGAAAACACATTCACTTTCTTTTGTTTATTGATGTATCGTAACCAGCTGCCTGGAATATTAATGTCGCGCACATGTAAACGTGCAGACATGTACAAATGTGTTTCCAATTTTTTTCAATTTCAAAATTGTGTGTGGTGTAGCTTCTGTGGATTTTCATTTCGTGTACCCTAGAGGGTGGCTGCCAATTGAAGAAGCACTTGGTGCCAGGCTTTTTTTTTAATGTTTGTTCAGAAGATGGGAATAGCACGGATCCTGGTGACACCTACTGGCCAACATGACGGCACCCAACCCATGATGCTTTGTTTGATTTATTACATATCGCAACAGGAATAGCCATCCTGCTCGTTAATGATACGTTGTGCTGAACAGATGCAAAACAAAGCATGTTGAATTCAATCTTGATTTGAAGCTTTCGTGACTGCAGGAATCCATACTCTTTGGTTCTTTCGGTAAAGTCACGTAGTTAGAAATAAAATCAAATAAAACAAATCACGACGTTTAGATCCCAACACAAGCTTTGCCTGATGACGACCGCTTGTGTTGCGATCGAAACGTCCTCATTTGTTTCATTTTATTTCTAACTACGTGACTTTACCGAAAGAACCAAAGAGCATGTTGAATTCATTGGATTTGCTGGTTTATAGTTGTCATTTTTTGTAAGCAAAATTTCCACGTGTGATGGATTGCCATAGTTGAAAATGAGTCTGATTTAAGAAAAACAAACACTTTCCGAAATGTTGTACAATGCAATTGATGTTTAAAATGTTTTGTTGAATTGCATTGTGGGCGTACGGTCATCACAAGGACTACAGCAGTTTAAGAAGGCCCTGTACTACCACCACCACCTTCTCAGCACAGACTTGAGATGGGCAGTACATTTTTTTTGATCCACCAGCGATGGCCACATTCCAAAGAATAAAAACAAATGTCGTTCGTGCAGTTTTGTTCTCGCAATTGCTGAGGAACCACGAACAAGCTGGGTGGCAGCAGCCAGGTGATTAGCCGGTGACAACAATTGCCCCAAGCTCTGCCGTTTTCTCGATATTTATATGTTATCTGACAATGAGTGCTGATACATAGTCCACGTTAAAGCCGAAATAGCCAGGGTCACGTGATAGGTGAGTTATTTGTAATTCGCAGTTGCCTCATGTGGGTTTTAATTGTATATAGCAAGTAAAAATGTATTGGCCTTATTGCTTCTGTGTATCATTGGACTTGTATAAGTGTTGGTTTATTGTGTAATTTTCATAGCAAATGTGGAATGTTATCTGCTCAGTGATGTGCACACATTTGTCTGCGTTCATGTGAAAGCATATATAGGAGCGTTTCCAGATTTTATTTTAATTCATGAGATTTTCAATGTGCATTGTTGTTTGAATGGGTATGCTTGGCATTTTAATATAACATGCTGGAGTAGTGCGATTAGGGTTAGTTCATTGCAATACGATGCCATTCAGCCAGGTTCAATAACAGAGTGCATACCATTGGCAACTGGCCTCTAAATCTCATCAAGGTCCTCTCAAAAAATGAGGAGAGGCCCTCTCCTCTTTTTTCAGCCTGATGACGACCGCTTGCGTTGCGATCGAAACGTCGTAGTTTTTTGTTATTTTTGTTCTTTTCTTTGAACCTATCTACGTGACTTTACCGAAAGACGCAAAGAATAAGGTCCTCTCACTTTCATTGTTAAATGAATACATAGCACTGCATGTTAATATTAGACACGGGACAATGCACCCATCGCAGAGAGTTTATAAATTGTCACTCTTCAGGGTTGTTATCCGATTCAATTAACTATTGTTTTTTTATTTCATGCTCTGTGAGTAGTTTCAATTCTAATTTGTTCTACCTCATCTGTATAAATGTGTTCACTCCACTATAACCGACATGTAACAGGTTTTTTTTTTTAAAAAAAAATTATTCATTATCGGTAATCACAGCGTTGTTTGTACGTTTCCTGAGTGTAAAGAATCTAGTTTAAAATCGATAAAGGTGCAGTCCTGCATTTTCTTGGTCACACCACCGCTGGTAGAGAGGAAGCTCAAAAAGTCCCCCTCTAGTCTCGAGTGTATATTGGCCTGCACTCACCCTGGCCAGTCGTCTCCGAAGATTAAATGCTCGGCTGTTCGACAAAGCGATGCGTGAATCGCACTGGGGACCGTGTGACGGAGTGGCGCTGGGTACTCTGCTGCGGCTGTGACCGGGGGTGTCCGCCTGTGTGCGCCGCGCGTGTGTGTGTTGTGTGTGTTGTGTGTGCACGCACGCACAGGGAACAGCATCTTGTGCACGGCGGCGGACAGCGTGACGAGCGCCGTGCAGAAGGCCAGCCAGGCCCTCAATGAGCGCGGAGAGCGGCTCGGTCGAGCAGAGGACAAAACCGCCGATATGGCCAATAGCGCCAATCAGTTCGCCGAGACTGCACAAAAGGTTGTGTGTTGCTTCAATAATGCACGTTCATCGTGTGTATATATACACACATGCACGGGTCTTTTTCCGCGTTGCACATGTCTGTGGCTATATTGCATCGTTTTGGTTAAAGTACAGTATGTGCTGCGGTGATGACCTTTTGTCATTGCCATGTGCATATTTGACAAGAGCCCACGTTTTGAAGAGTGTACGGCACCCGTAATTATCTCTCTCTAATGCAAGTTGTTGTATGCGGTGGAAATTAAATCAGCAAGCTGTTGATGCCTGTGTTGTCACTTACCACGAATTAATATAACAGCCCTCTCTCAATCTAATGCAGGGTGAAGGGCTGCCCACGCGGTGTAGGTCATGGGGATTGTTTTACCATACCTCGTTGTGTTAGTCAGTGTCGGTTGGTTTAAGTGGGGAGCCCCGGATGGGTCCAGACATCTCTCACATCACTAATAAGCCACATAAATAAATGATCATTGTAAGTGTTAATCGTAAAACTAATAGCGAAAATAATAAAGTAATTGGAACTTTAACAGACATTTCAAATTACTTATTTGAAAATGTAAGTTGACTCCAGTTGCATTCATTATACTGAATTCAGAAGATCAAGTGATGTTCGATTATAACTTTATATCAGCAATTATATTACTTATATAACAGTTCCAACAGTTATGCAACTTTATTTTTTTATGTTAACGTATTTGACATGATCTTATTAGAACATACAGAATTGTATGTGGTAATTTCAATTTCAATATTTGGGCCATTTATTATACACAAAAATACAAATATAAATGCAGAGGCATTTAAGTAAATCTATTCATCTTTGTCAAATTGTGAAAAAATAGCGCCTCAAGTTCTTTTTTTTATACCTGCAAAGAACCCTCATTAATTTTTAGCTGTAGTACAATTGGAACGTATAATTAATTACAACGTTCTTGGGAAAAGGGCAAATTATTATCGTGGCAGGTTCCCTCATCAGCAGGTAATTGCCATTATAATCATAGTCATTTGTAGGCTCGGTGGAAAGAGATGCAGTGGTTTTAAAACTCCTCCGTTGAAAAATGAACGCTGTAACGGCTGAATGTCTCCAATCCCTGGTATGAATGTATTTTTTCCTGAAATCTCGGGGGCCCTCAATTAGGTGCAACTCAAAGAGGCTATTTTAGGAGAGCACGCTCCATTGTTTACTGTTGAATTATGAACTGTATTGGTTTTGCCCATTTCCTCTGAGCACTGCAAAAGTTAATGTTCTGACAGCTTGGCTGAAAAAGTCACGAGCTGATATTAAACCAGTGACGGGTGCATTGCACCACCGATTTGATGCCATACTTGAGTGAGCAGTGCTGTTTTATGTACAGTAGTAGGCAATGAACAATTCGCCCACACCACCCCCAGCGATTTGATATCTCATAAATTAAGGTCACGATTAGATGAATTAATCAATTATTTTTCAACTTGTTGTCATCGTTTCATTTTAAGTTATTCTTTTTGTTCCACTCTCATTCATATAGCGATGACAGCTTCATTATCTTAAATGTATGATGAGCCATTTTTTTCAGAATTTTAAAGAATTTGTTCAATGGGTGCATTGCGAGAGTAAATATATATATCAATATTGAATGATGGATCAATGAATTGTTTTAGGCGTAGTATTGTAAGAAGGTAATTTAATCCTGCCGTGGTGTAATTCTTAGCACCCTGAAATTTGCATCCAGAGGTCAGCAATTCGATCTCCTGGTCCATAATATAGGTTTTTGGGTTATATCGTGTAAATATAAAAGCTGTCGTTATCCAGTCACCACCCGACAGAGCCAATTAGTAAGGTTTGTCACGTAAACAAAACATGCCAATTCGTTATTAGTACAGCACACCGGTGTGTTGGAGAGTAAACCCACGACATTTACAATTCGAGTACGACGTTTCACCAGTATGACGTTTCACCAGTATGACGTTTCACCAGTAACCAGCATTGTCAGGCGACAACCAAAGTTGTGGAGAAATCCTGTTGTGGCCAATCAGATGCGAACTCCGGAGGGGGAGGGTTAATTTATGCATATAAATTAGAATTACTATACATTACCGGTTTAGGTAATCATAGGGTAATCAACGTACATTATGCATGCACACCATGCACGGACGAATTGGCATGTTTTGTTTACGTGAAAACCCTTACTAATTGGTCGTGTCGGATGGTGGCGGGTTTAACGACACATTTACATTTACGCGATCTAACCCAGCAACCTCTATTATCGATAATATCGGTCGTGGAAGCCTCCGTGTTAAATCGATCTTCTAGCACGGCATTTGAAACAATGTACAAGCTTCAGTCCACCCAACAACACAAATGGTTACAGCACAGTTGAATGTCAGGTCGCGGTGGGATAAAGTGTGGGTACTCCCATCCAAGGCCGTAATTATAATATATATTGGGGGGGACACATCCCCCCCAATATTCAAATATGCTCAAAATGCCCCCCCCCCCCCAATATATTGCGAAAAAATAGATTTCTGTTAATTTGATTGTGGTTATGGTTGTACTTTATTAATCCCTAATCTCTGCTATTACATACAATGAAACAAAAAAAGGTAAGAAAACAGAGCAATGTAATACAATACACTATTAGACCCCCAGACCCCCTGGAAGATTTGATCCCCCCCAATGTTGACTCCATGTGTTGATTTGGACAAGGAGGTACGGCATTCTCAACGCTGCAAGTCTCATATTTACATCGCTCGTTGCAATGTTAAGGCATCAATTCCCTCTGCTGGATGTTTAGGAGCATAGCACACATGTATTTCCATTGGGTTGAAAGATTCACACGACCATTTCTACAGGAGGAATTCGATGGATTATCGTCATTATTGCCACGGTTCGATTCAAGGATCGATTGTTTTTATCACACTGAATTGTAATGCCTCTTTTTGGCTGCACGTGTGACTTGAATCCAGTTCTTATGCAATTTTGAATCCAGTTCTTATGCAATTTTTTGAATATATTATGAGCTTAAAAGTCAATGTCGTTAAACTGATATATCGGTCCACCCTTAATTTCCAACAAACTGTGATGTTTTGTGGTGCGTTAAGCATTGTTTTGGTGCTGAGGTAGGTGCAGTGGTTAGCGCGCTGCGTTTACCGAACACGCGAGTTCCCGGCCATGGCTAACATTAGTGGGCGAGCGATATCCGAACCGGGCCTCTCCTCCACACCCTTCAATAACCCGCACTGACCAGAGTAGTGAAGTATGGTTCCAAAAAACAGCATGACACAAATGGAGTGTGGTGGCCTTCATCCATTGGTGGATTGAAACTATCTTGAATTGGTCGTAGTTATTTATTAACACAGTATTTGGCCTGATCGCCAAACTCACGTATGCAGGTTTGATGGGCGGAATGGCATTGTGGTGTAAGAAATTACGGAATAGTTGGGGGTGCTTGGAAAAAAAGTTGTTGCTTGTGGATTATTATTTTCTTTGCACTTCCAGCTCGTGACGAAGTACAAGTGCTGATGGGGACCCTGCCCTCCTGTCCTCACAAGGGAACCACCGGCGCACCCCCTCCACATCTGTTTGTGCTGCCCGTGTGTTTTTGGGAAAGTGACGTGCCATTGTGAGACACGTCTGCACTCTTTATCTGGTAAAATATGTATCGTGTTATCTCACCTTTTCTGCACAGAACAATCCACAAATGCCAAGGATAAGTAAAGGCAATGCGTTGTTCATTTGAAAGTTAATGTGTGGTTTGAATGAAGAGTAAATACAACTGGAAGATGGAAATCACAAGTTTATTTTAAATGCTTTAGTGGTTTAGGATTATGATCAACAGCAATATTATTCCTTTCGTGCTTGCAGAAGGTGTAACAAAGTAGCATCTCAGCTTTTGCCCAAACCTTGAACCAATGTTTGTTCAAGTATTAACTGGACATCACGAGATTAATTTCCAGCATGAGCCGCGCTCGTGGTTTAAGCCAAACACATTGATATTTAAAAAAAAAACGCAAACCTATTGTTTTCTCTGCGTGCGTATGCCCAACTTTGTGGACGCCACAGTTATGTATGGTGTCTAAACATGTGCGGCAGATAGTTTACCTTGATTCCAGTATTATCGTGTTTGTTCATTCATCTGCATCGGAAAATGGTCTAGAATCTAAACATTCCCTATTGAAAATAGGATATATTTCTTTCATAGTTTTTTCCTGCAGATTTATTTTTTGCTTTTTGTTAACAGAAGAATATTGGGATATGAACACTGGATTGAAAAAAAAAACATTTGTTATCTGGTGGAACAATATTTTTTTATTTAAAATATACAGTTCCGTTCTTTATATGTTAAATTTGTATTTAATGAAGACATTTGCAATTGCTATAGGCGTTAGATATGGCTTTACTGCTTATCAGCAACATTGTATATTGTCTACTTGGAGTGTACCTTTGGTTCGGAATTGCATCAACCCAATTGTTGCAGTAAAATCGAGAAACGTTTTGGGGACATAATCAACTAAGGTTGAATGTGAACATGACTCGATCATCATTTTTACATCCTAAGGGGCTTATCGGGTGCCTATATTTAGGATCCGATTACGAAGGATTAACAATGTCTGTAGGAATAGAATCGATAGGCTGCCAGAGTCGAGATGTGTTTCGCAAACCTAATCTGTTTACCGTTTCACTGTAGTATATGAAGCTGGCGTGCTGATCTGTAAGCCAGTGCTATTGGAAGAATTGGCAGATCGCGTGGAGATTTGTGCAGTGAGACTGCCCAATCCGCTAGGCTGTTTGCTAGCCAGGATAAAGCGGTGTTCTGGTGGGTTTATGGACCTGTCTGTGTGGACCTTTCAATTCTGGTTTCCTTCCACAAGCGTACACAGTCATGAATGGAATTGTTCAAATGTCCTCAAGGCAGGACCTCCCCTGAAAAAAATAGCTTTGATACTTAGAAAGGCTTTCCTGGGAAAATAGTTCACTCTTTAGTATTTCAATAACAGCAACAAAAGTAGCTTAACACTGTTGAGTGTTGTTATTAAAGTCTAAAGGTATTGCGTTATATATTCTTACGCAATAATTAAAGTGATCTCAATTTACCAGGATTGGTGATTGTTGGTTGAATTGGATTGGGGTCAAATTGTTACCCCAATCTTAACGACGTCATCAGGTCCAATTGGGCTCAGACTGTGCACCCCCTAGTAGTCACAATATTTAAAAAAAAACCCATCAAAGTTATTACGTGACATAGAAGCAAAGAGTCACTGCGGTATTTTATACTTGGTTCTTTGGAGTATTTTAAACTTTTTAAAATTAGTATTACTAAATAGAGCAGTATTACACTTTATTTTGGATAATGTCTGGAATATGTATTGGAATGTGTACAGCTTAATGTCATAGTAAATAGTCCATAAATTACTGAAACATCTTCATCAGGGGGTTGAGATGGGCGATTGAGTTGGGCTCTTGAAGGGTATAGCGCAGGTACCAGTAGCAATGCGACATCATGTCATTGGTATTCACTGTTAATTATAGCACAGCTCCAGGGCATTTCCAGGGCAGTGGCATTTGTAATTGTAATTGAGGTGATTAACGTGTGGCTGGCAATCGTGTGAGGGATGCTCCGAGTAGCACGGTTGGCTACATAGGATACAGACGAGATCTTTGTTGTCAACTAAAACTGAATAAAAGCCCCGAACACGGTCCGATCCTGATTTATTCCCTTTGCAATATTTTGGTTACCAGTTCTTCTTCTTATGGCGCCCCAGTTTACACAATGGTGCAAGTTCCTTCAACATCCTCCGCCACTTGCCTCTGTCCACCCAACTCGTATGCACGGTTAAACCATAATTAGTCGATTGACAGACAGATCGTCGTGGGTGCTGGGATAAGTTGTGAGTACTCCCCATGACATCTCCACACCTCCGATTAGCACGGTTGGCTACCTGCGGCGCGAAAGGAGTTCGCCACACAAACATCTAACTGGCGTGGAAGAGTATGCCTAAACACCCTCGAGAAGGGCTATCTACTGCTAACGTGGAGGCACTTCTGCCAGCAGTGTCGTGAGCAAGTAATTGCAGGGTTGCACCTTTAGGTAAAAAAAATGTTGCGCACACCCTGCTGTGTTTGCTTCGTGTGGTGGGCTTGCAAATATATATTCTGCGTACACATTTGCTGCAGTATATTATTGTTGCTGTTGTGTGACTTGTAAGTAAAGAAATATACACTGCAGTATTATATCGATAGAATGTCACAGCCCTAGATCACACCAAAGGAAACGTATATCCTATTTCAAAGTGATTTTTTAAAAAAATATTCGTATACCATGTATGGGTTGCCATATTGTATTTGCTTTTATTGTAATATAATTAAACACAGTGCCTACTTAATGTTACATTCATGTGTTCACGTTCATGAGTCATTTTATATATGGAGTGTAATGTAGGTTACATCAATTATAATTTCACAGTAGTTGGTGGTGGTGGTGGTGGTCGTCATCGTGTTTGTAAAATTTGGCAAATGCAAGTTTGGTATAAGGGCTAGTGTGCATGGTTAAGAAAGACACGAGTATTTTACAACCACACATGTCTGGAAGGGGACAATTTCTGCTTTAAACAAAAAGCTCCTATTGTTATTTGATGGCACAAAGAAACGCGGCAATGTTTTTCATGAGTTAATATGCTGGTCCACAGATGCAGCAACGCATGCCATGCCATTGGTGTTTGGCAGTATTGCAAGTAGGATAAACAAAGGCTGTTTCAGAGAATCTGACCACCGGAGTGGTGGCTCCGTTTTTGTGGTAAGTGGGATATTTTTTTTTCAAGTGGTGCAAAGAAGATAACCAACAATGTGTATTATAGTCATGAAAAAGTGTTACAACAAAAGATATCTCTTATTAAGACTTGTGTGCTGCTACATATTTACAATATTGGTCGAGCATATATTTGAGATAAATGCTTTCTTTCAAAACTGATGTAACAAATAATTATAATCTTTTGCTCTCTGGTTTTTCTTTCTGGACTTTTTTTCTCAATATGAGAAAACATTTGAAAAGAACTGCACACGTGTATATTGTAACTCCTCATTCACCGCGTCCAATGACACTGGACTCACAACTGCATTTGTGATATGTGAACGACACTTCCATGTATGTGTTGATAACTTCTGCTTGCATTTAATGCCTTCTTCTTCTTATGCCTCCTCTTGTGTACTCTCTCTCTCTCTCTCTAACCCTGTTGCTATTTGAACTGGAAGGGCACGGCTTAATTTCCTTAGTCGATATGTTCCAGAACGTTGCTTAGCTGGTTTGGATTATGGGTTTAAGGCCCTACTACTAGAATATAATAATATTATGTTATTGTACCCTATAGTCCTATGCTACTATGAATGGGTTTAGGACCAAAAATAAAGGGACTTGGATGTGTCGCGACAAAAATGTTTCCTAGAACAGTGTTCTGGACTGTTCTGGATGGAAATTAAGCATTGTAAGGTTTATGGTTGTGATATCAGTTGGAAAATACACTATATTTTGTGGGACTTCATATGGTGCACTATTTCATTGATTATCGCTCAAGGATTTTGGAGAGTTGAGTGGAGAACGGTGGAGGTATCAACATAATGGAAGCAATCCCAGGAAGCTGAACCGCATAGGAGAGGGATGAACGCATTTTTATATATTCATGTATAAAATCAAGAATCAAACAAGTTTTGGGCGATTATCGTACCAAATGCTCTGTGTGCTGTTTGTGCATTTGCTCAGGTTTTTTGTGCAATATACCATTGAACATTAATTGCTTGTTGTTTATTTTAATCTCATTCAAGCGAGTGTTCGTATTACAATGCACATCAAGGGTGGGAGAACATCACAAGGGCTACAGCAATGTTGACCACTGAGGGGGGCAGCACTTTTACTGTAGCCTCGTGTGCACAATGTTCATGCCTTGGAACTGGACTGAAAGAAGCCGTGTTAATGAAGAAGTCTCGTTGAGCTCAGCATTTGGGGCCCTGAAATGTTATTGATTGAACCAAGTAATGCATCACTCCGTTGATTATGCTAATATTTATCATGTTGACATAGCAACATGGATACCCGTAATGCAATGCGCCAGCAACATTTTATAATGCTTATTTTAATTAAAAAAATAATTTACGCAGTAATACATTTATTCATATAGGGCTTGTTATTCGATAACCACTCATAGGTAGTAAAAAAACTGGTCATCAGCAAACATTTTAAAAATATATCAGGCCCTATCATGTAAAGTGCAGTTTCCAACTGTTATCCACTGTCTCGCCTCTCTATGTGCTATGAAGAAGGGTCATTGTCTGAAACGTTGCCTATAATATATGTTTTCCTTCAGCTCGCAGTGTTATTGATCAATGTGTTGAGTTTAATGTTCGTGGCAGTGTTGTGTGCCGTCTCCTCTCGTTGCCCAAGACACAACACGATTAGAATGCAGGTGGCAATGTTTTTTAAATTTTAAAGCAATGCCAACGGGCCCTCACTTAAAACTGATTGGCTTATCAAGCTTTTTAATGATTAACTGCAATTGCATTTTGTAGGGAAAACAATTGTTTAGTGAATCTTTTGTAATGTACTATTTACATTACATACTGAAAGTTTTGCTGAGTGGTTAATGTTTATTAAAATGTTAATGAATAAAAAGGACACCAATAAATGTGTTTAAGGATGTGTTTGCGTTTTTATTTACGTTTCATCGTCATTCATTAGCCGCGATCCCAAAAACCGTCGCCATCTCTCATGAACCTGGGATGCAACATCCTGCACATGAGCTTATTTTAAAGTGAAGTTGAGGTTTGATTATTATTTACGTCTCATTGCGCACACTCGATTGGCTTGGAAGATGTTGTTCTAGATGGATGGAAGATAAATATTGCACTGTGATCTTTTTTTGGCAGTGAGAAAAAGGACTTCGTTCTATATGCAGTACTGTACAGTACAATGCAGTGCTCTATTATTTGATATGCAGCAAAACAAAGCTAAACAATTTGTCAAATGTTTATAGATAAACGAGCGATACTACAATAACGGTGTTCAATACTTTTGTTTAAAAAAATGAGACAACATTGATTTGGGGGAATATTATGGACAATCACGTGCCAAACTTCAAAAACACGTGAGCAATCTGGATTTAGAAAAGGGGGTTTATACCATTCATCACAATCTGATCCGGAAAAAAAAACATATCAAAAACCATTTTGCCTGCCATTTTTAGACTATGAAAATGCAAAATGCAGTATAAATTGAGTCGTCTGAGCACTCGCATACTAAGGAAATGCAATAGTCAATAATAAATTACAAAAATATATTTTGGGATGCATATTTGCGTTATGAATGTATTTAAAGTAGTTAATGTTACGAACAAGTAGTTTATATCCGGTCCAGTTGAAGCACAATAAAATGCTTTTTAAGGTAAATAAATACAGTTAATATACAATAGTTTCAAAATGTAATGTGCACAGTGCTCACACATTTTCAAATGTGTGAACAAGCACAGAAGGCAGCCGCCAGGCAGTGATGCAGCGCCAACAATTGCCCAAACTCTAGTTCTCTCCATATATATAAAAAAGATGTTTTCAGCCAATTCATGAATGTTTACGTATGGGAGCAAACCGGAGCGCCCAAGAGGAACCCCATGCTTGCTTGCGAGAGATTGAAGATATGCACATCCCATGCAGACCGAAATAAGTCAAGTCCACATTTTTGTTGTACTGTACTGCCGCCTCCTGGCGAGGTGGAGTATGGCTCCTCGACGCCCACGAGCTGGGAGTTTCACAATATTTGTGTTTGATCCACCAACCCTCGCCTGTACCGTGGGGCCGTCCATAAATGACGTCACGCACCTAGGTGGTGGTGGGGGGGGGGGGGGGGGGGGTCAGACATTTGTGACGATGCGTGACGAGGGGGGGGAGGGGGTTTGAGAAATGTGACGTCACATCAAAATGCGCAACTTTAAATAAATATAGACAACACGTTCTACTTAATTAAATAGACTTTTTAATCAATGTTTTCTCCTACAACATCAGAGTGCAGCGCCACATTAAATACGCACTATAATGACAATAGTTTAAAGCAATTTGAAGCATGTTTTATTTTTGTGTGTGTGTCATATTTGAGGGGGGGGGGTCTGACTTTTTGTGACGCCGTGTGACTAAGGGGGTGGGGGGGGGGGGCAAAAATCGTCCAAAATCGCGTGACGTCATTTATGGACGGCCCCCATTCTGTATAAAAGGCAAAAAGCTGAGTGTATTATAGTCTTTAAAATTTTGCTCTTTTATATTCTCATGCCAAAAAAAATGTGCATACATTCGTCAAAACTTGTTAATTTCAGCCACGATTTGTTCATAGAAGATAACAGAACCATCTGAGGACCCAATCAAAACCATCACCTTGCCATACATAGCAGGGGTCACCAAAAAGATTTCCAAAATCATGAGCAAACACAAGATCCAGGTTCGATTCAACACAGTATATAAAATTCGTGATCTGATCCCATCTGTGAAGGATGTGATCCCTGACCCGGCAGGGATCACAAACTAAGTTGCGTCTGCGTCAGTAGTTACACTGGGGAAACTAAGCGACATGTCTCAGACCGTGTTCGTGAACACAAGGCAGATCTGAAACACGGTAGGACCAATACCTCAGCCGTGGCTGATTATTGTTTAAACGCTGTGGGCACATACAAACTTGATTTTTCCAAGACAAAGGTACTCTGCAAACCTACTATCAACAAAGATTCGTTCATGAAGCCATCCAGATATATAAACACGGACACAATTTCAACCGAGAAGATGGGTACAAACTGAGCAATCATTGGAAGGACGTTATTAACCTGTTTAAGTCATAACTGGCTCTGATGTTTCCATCCTACGTACCGATGTTAGCAGTTATTTCCGACTCTCTGAGTTGCATTGCCAGGTTGGAGGTCTTTGCATTGACAGGCTGTATGTCTTACTAGCACAGTCACCGATTCTCCTTTCTCTCGATGTGGCGGTGGCTACCTTCACAGCCTCAGGGTGCCTCAGGGTGCCCTCCGTTCTCACAATACATTGACATGCTCATCTCTGATAATCGGTTTTACCCCTTTTTTCTGGCACTAAACAGCTGTGTTAAGATGGTAAAATACCAAACTAAAACCTTTTTACAAGGAATCATGTCTGCATTAACCACAATGCTTGTGGTCAAAATGCAAACAAAATAACATACTCTGATAATAGAATCAATGTTTACACTTGAGTGGAAATCGGAGCGCATGGAGAAAATTCACACGGGTTTATCTCAAGAGCTTCTGAGTAAAAACATAGAATTCCAAATAAGTACTATAAACATACTCTGATAATACTGTATATGCATTATCCTTGAAACTGATTGGTCAACACACCAGAGACAGCTTTCTTTTGAGCCTCGTCTCTCTCAATACAATGTCCACCCACCCCCACAGCCTCAGGGCGCCCTCCAATCTTACATTTACATGCAAATACCATCTCTAGCCCCGCCCACTTACCCTTGGGCTACACCCATCACAGGCCTACATAACATCCTGTTTCAGCAGCTCTCTCACTGTGGTTTTTTCACCTGAAGACGATTGCTCGTTTCGCGATCGAAACGAGCAATCGTTTTTATTTTTCCGTCCACGTGACTTTACCGAAAGACCCAAAGAGTATGAAGTCCTGCAGTCACGAAAGCTTTAAGTCAAGATATAACAGATCAGATTGTGATTTCCACACAAGCAAATTGAAAATTTTTCTACTCGACCGGAATTCGTTTTTTTTTTTTTCAATTATACATTAATGGCCGTATGGTTTATAATGTCGTGCTTTTTCGTCTTTTTTAACCTATGTAGTTTTGCAATTACCCTGTAAATGCAATATTTAGTTTCACATTTATCATTTGTGCTATGAAGATCGATGGCGTAAATAAACCTATTACAACAATTACATTGCTTGCAAGTAATCACGTCACGGAGGGGCAATTCCATTATTGCTGACCTATGTGTGCACCCTTCCTCTGTGTTTTTGACCTCGGTTTTATTTGAATGCAAGGGTATTTACGTAGAGGTCATAAAACATATATATGCTTTTGCAGTGCTTGTTCACATGGTACACACAAAAAGCTGCGTGCATTCCGCGAGTTCAGAAACATTTGAGAATGGAGCCGAGAGTCCGGCAGTAATTACCAATGCAAATGTCACGTGTATAATCAATATCAGAAGCTGAATACGGGTATTTGCACTCGCCTTGCGGACAAGGCCTACATTTGCGCAATAAATACGCCACTCAAGGCAACGCATTTGTTTCAAAACCAGAATACTTATTTATTCTGGGGAAATCCGATGAGCTGTGAAGCTCTTCCACAAATGTCCAGTATATTCACAGATGTTTAAATGAATATATGTCCTCTCTTGCGGTATATTGAGAACTTCTTCTTCCGATATGTCGCGGGTGTTTTTTGGACCACGGAGCTCTTTGTTCTGGCTGCTTGACGGAGTTTCCCTCGGACTCCGCTGATTCGGGGATTCTCGGTGACTCCGCTGTCTGGGTGTGCATGTATGGGTGGTGTCATTTTAGTTTTAACTGAGTCTTTGATGTCCTAGCTCGTTGTACTTTCATGTCCTTTTGTTTGCTCTCTTGCTCCCTCACCCCTATCCTTTTTCTCTGCTTTGGCCGAGTGGTTTTGTAATAGTGTGTTTGTAAGGCACTTTAGAGATGCATTTGGCATATACGCACTAAATAAATACCAACGCCTTGCTGTTCATTTTCCTCAAAACGGCCAATATATGAAGAAATATACATTTTACTTTTCATCGTGGCGAATTTGAATATATCTCTATGCACAAATGGCTTCTTCAATTGGGCACTGCACTGGCTCGATGCGGTATTTAATTGTGTGAACCTTGTGGAACTGGGGAGGATAGGGGGAACCCATATCAGTCAGGTGATGCATACAATCATTATTACCGTGGGCTGCTTTTTAGCTTTTGCACAAGGCTAGCTGTAGATCCAGTTGCTTCGTTTTAGGCCAGAGCAGAGTAGCCCTGCCATTCGTAATTTCCAGTTATTTTTCAATGCCATTGGTCGACACCATAACACAGATGTATATGAAACACGCAGATTTAAGTGCGTTACGGACATCAGGTTTTCATAAGTAAAGTTGTGACATTAGTTGCGGTTGTTTTGATTGGATGCAACAACGGACATTGTCAACGTATGCCATACTAAAAGGGAAACCGGATAAGCGTGGAATGCATCCGAGGACCAGTCCCACGAGGAGATGGAGAGATGAAATCAACTCATGTGCGGGTACTAGACAGATTTTCGCATTGCAGGATGCTGTGAGTTTTTGACAGCTTGGCAAGGCCTTCATCCAGCAATTGATTGATCATGGACGTATACTCTTTGGTTCTTTCGGTAAATTCGCGTAGGTATAAAATAAAATAAATCACGACGTTTCGGGCGCAACACAAGCGTCCGTCATCAGGTGGGTAGATGGATCATGGAAGATTGATGATGGGGCACTTGGTTCCATATCACTGTGGAGCAAAACCAGTGTACACATGGCAATTTTTCACAATTCACAAAGTCCAGTATAGTTTGTTTTTATTTGCTGGTAGGGAGTGCAGCTTGTTTAATTGACGACTGGTATGCATGGCAACGTTCATCGG